TGGGTCCGTATTATTTTATATACAAAACAGGGTGGGTCCAAGTAAACAAAGGGGCGGACCGGATCCAATTTCTAAAGTCACAGGCCCCCGGCCCGAACCGTATCACACACACACACACACTCAAATCTCACACACATCACATCTTTCTCGAAGACTCTCCCGAGTCCTCCCTTTCAATCTCTCTCCCAGAGTCATCCCTCTCGATTCTCAGTCCCCTCCCCCACTCAAGTCGAGTCCTCTTGTGAACACCACCATCACCATCGTCTCCTGACTCTCCTCCCAAACGTAACCGCCCATCACCGCTGTTGAAAACACCACCATCATCATGCGATTCGAAATATCATGTCATCTTCTCACAAATTAAGGTAATTTCTAAATTAGGGTTTTTGAATTATCTGGGTTTCTGAGTACAGGGATTTAGGACTTTTGAATTAGGATTTTTTTAATTTATAGGTTACTGAATTTAGGGATATAATTTCTTAATTTCATGGATTTAATTGGTTTTGGTTTTGATTTTAGTTTAGCTTTGGAAAATCATGTTGTAAGGGATCTTGCTAGACTTGTTGAAGTCTTCTTTTTATCCACTTTGGGGGCTCGATTTGGCTTGATTTCAGGCGACTAGTTCGAGTTTGGTGGTCCTTCTGATGGCAGCAGTGGCGGAGGATGCAGGTTGTTAGAGCATCCCCAGTAAGGGGCTCTATATGGGGCTGGAAAAGTGGTGGATATAGCCCATTTTAGAGCTCCGAGGAATCTTTGAGGCTTTATAAAAGAATCTCTCCCAATAGGTGACTATATATTTTGGGCTCTATATATTTATTTATGTAGTAATTTGATTAAGCGATGATTTTTATTTTTTTTGCGTTAGCTTTTCTTAAGTTGATTTTTGGACGTGCTATCTTAATTTTTTTATGGACCTTTCAACCTAAAAAGTTCAAAATGTGACAAAGTTAGATTTAATCGCTTATGAATTGTTCATTGGATTAGATTCTCTTATCTCAATCTCATCCGTTGAAAGAAATAAACCCCCACTTCACCCCCTGAAATAATTTGATTTTTCACGTATAACACAACAACTTACCTAACACCAATTGGTAAATTAGATCTTACAATTTTGAAAAAAAATTATTTGAAATTTTCATCCACAATTTCATCCACCAATGCCCATGAACATCAAATCAATTTGAAAATTTAATTTTTATGGAATTTAAAACAATCATTAATTAGCCAAATTGCAAGAAAATAAGTAAGAAAAAAGAATTAATAATTAATAATAAAAGGAAAGTATAAGTGTATTCGCAAGTGGATGAAGAGTGATATAATTTTCCTCATATGGGCTGCTACTTTTTTGTGGGACCCACTGTTTTTTGGGGTTAGATGTAGCCCGATTTTATGCTACCCAAGAAAAGAAGTTGCTAGCCCCAGTGATGGATCTAGCCCCATTTTCCGGCTCATTGGGGATGAAATTTCTTGCTAAGGCTTGAAATGTAGTAGCCTCATGGAGGATAGAGCCCCCATTAGGGATGCTCTTATAGCGCGTTTACTAACCCGTAATCGGAATGAAAATAAGGAATCTGATTCCAATTACGGATTATACTTGTGTTTACTAAAATTGGGAAGAATCAAAAGCGCATGGGGCCCACACAAAAAATAGAATCCAATTCCTGAAATTGGAGGATTTGGATTCCCAACATATACAAGGTATTTGGATTCCGGATTGCCCAAGCAATCGGAATGATAAATTTTTTCCCTTTATGCCCTCACTTACTTTCATTATTTCCAAGATTATCCTTTTAACCCTAGACTTATTTTTCTTTTCACCCAACTCCTAACAATTTCTTTCCATATCCTTCTAGCTCATTAAGCATAATTTTATGCTCATTCACATTATGCACAACTCCATACATATGTCGAAGAGAAAAAACTACAACTTGAGCGAGAAAATTTAGATATTAAAGTCAGTAATTAAATTTATAAAAAAAATAAACAAAATCACTTTAGTATGTCTATGAAATAAAAAAGCAATTTAATTTTTTCTTACTATTATATACTATATCAAATTTTATAAAAAAAAGTATATAAAATATTTGATTTGAGACAAGGGCATTTTAGTAATCATATTGGTTTATATTCCGATTCTGCTGAATTAGTAAACAACTTTATAGAATTGTATTCCAATTTTGGACAGTTTTAGTAAACAACTTCGACAGGAATCTGATTCTGATTCCACCTCATTTCAATTCCTCATCAATCCAATTCCTCTTCAATTCAATTCCTCTCAATTTGATTACGGATTAGTAAACGCGTTATTAGGGTTTTTTCTGTTGGGCTTGGTTTTGTTGTCAGGTCCACACTTTTGTTGTTGTGTTTGTATTGTATGTGGGCCTCTCTTTTGTAAATGTAAATATGTGTGTTGTTGGTAATAAAAAAGTAGCCCAATGTCAGACCCAAAAAAAAAAAAAAAAAAGTAATTGGACCAGTGGACCCATCCCGAACCAGCCCGTTTCAAACGGGCCGGGTTAGGTCCGGCTCCCAAATTTAAAATCTCTCTACCCAGCCCAGCCTGGCCCGTTACATTTTAAAACGGGGTAGGTCCGATTCCTCTAAATTTGAGCCCGGCCTGTGCCCAGCCCAAGAATCAACTATGTCATCGACTCTTATTGTAATATATACTACGTAGAATGAAAAACTACATGACTTGTGTTTTAACTACCTATAAAAATTATCGTTACAACTTATAACGAACTAGGTTGAAGTCAATCTTATGAGTTCAAATTTGATGCATGCATAACATGCGTTGAATAAATAACTAACAGTAACATACAAGTCGATTAATTTAAGAAAATGAAACACAGTTTAATATATAATCCTGTGTGACCTCAAATGGGTGAAATATACTAATCTGGCATGTACATGTATAGATCTTTATACACACATTTCTTTTTTGGATAAATACATAAATACTAATACATACATTAATATTGTGAAAGCCTGTTTACTGTGATATATTTGGTTTAATCAGATAAAATAATATAGATTCTTAAGTACATATATTTGTATTACTTAAGATAAGCTGGTTGCACTTGCAGAGACATGTGATGAAGATTCAAATTAGAGAACCCATTTATAACATACCTAGTTTTTTTTAAGTAATTGATTAAATTAAGGGATTAAGGTTTGATTATTTTAATTACAGACAGATACATACATACATACACCGAGCAATACACTACATACAGTCCAGTCGGGCAGCAGGGGGACCCTCTGTTCCTCTGCACTGTTCTTGTGTAGTCTTGGACAGGAAAGAAGAGAAAAAAAAAAGTATCAAAATATGTGCTCTTTTTTTAGAACGAGTCATTCTTTCTTATATGTAAATTATAGTTAGAGACGTAATTTTTTTTTTTATGTGTGTTATTAATAAGTTATTTCTTTATATGTCTATCTTCTAAGTTCAAAAATGGGTTGATGCGTAAAATTTCACATCAATGGTCTAAACGTTGATCATTATGCTTAACATGTTTTTTTATTAAAATTGTTATTAACACTCTAAAAATATTATACTGCACTATTTTATACATATTTTTATAAATAAAAAATGCATAATGGAATTTTTTTTAGATACACAATTCAATAAATATTATATTATTTTCAATAATATTTTTTCTTGGCAGATGCTTCCATTGGTTCCCAGCAACAAGAACCACTGGCGACCACAAAGATAAGAGCTAGTCAAATTAACAAAATCAAATAAAAGAAGAACGTGGAGTTGAGATGTCCTTTTATTATCCATGAATTCTTGTATTATGACCCTTAAGAGTTGCTTGACCCACAAGCAGACAAGCATACTTTTGGACATATTTTCTTGGATAAGAACTCCGCTTAATATAATCACTCTTTAGTTTCTTTGTTTTGGTGTTGGTTGAGAAATCATGCTGCAGAGTCTTGTGTAGCCGTGTAGGAGGACTTATGTGCACCATGGATATTTCAACTTTTTAATTCAATCACGTGTTATCAAGTGTCTTCGCCCATGAGCGGTAGGTCTCGGATTCGAGACTTGGGAGCAGCCTCTCCATAAATGGGGGTAAGGCTAGCCGACATTCACCTCTCCCAGACCCTGCGTAAAGCGGGAGCCTTGTGCACTGGGTATGACCTTTTACGTGTTGTCATGTAGGAAAGTTAAAATGCATTGACTATTACATATGGTAGCTATCTCACATTGGATGGAAATTGAATGTGGGTCTCACATGTAGGCCCCAGTTTAGTGTGCATGAACTGAATAGAGCAACCTCGCGTACGACATTCAACTAGATTTGAATGCCGCGCATGAGTCTTACATGTGTTGGTTCCACCTCTGATAGAATAGAGAAGAGCGATTCTATCTTGTAATCGAAATATTTAGGATGATGCTACTAACACACCTCTTTTACCTTCTATACACTCCTCTCAATTTTTTGTCATTGGATGAAATGAATTAAAAAAAGATCAAAGGAAAAAATTAATAAGGGATGTGTGAGAGGTAACAAGAGGTGTGCGGATAACACCACCCAATATTTATCCAAGTCACATGTTGAGAAAGAGATAAGGCGATATATCTTCAGCTACACTCAAGGTTTTGTTAAGATAAAAAACCGATAAGTAAATGCAGTACAAATAACAACACTCATTCAAAAGGAAATGAGTCATGTATTCGACCACGAAATACATCGCGGCCTCCACGTGGAAGTATGGGAGTGGGCCATGTTTTCTTTGTACCCAAAACAAATATCTGCAGTTGCTTAGGCCCATAGTTTCAACTTTCAATCCACATCCATCCTATTAATTGGAATTTGGAAGGTTCTAACTCAGTGACAGCTGAGGATGGGAAATCCCCCACCCCACCATTAGAGAGAATGTAAAGAGAGAATGTAAAGTTAGAAGCCCTTGATGGGTTGAATTATGTCCCGGAAAAATTATGATTGCTCTAATAGCCTAGACTTTCTCACATCATATAGGCTATAGCAATATACTTGTAGTCCAAAACTTCATTATTTCATATCTGAATGGGCTGAATGATTTGATATAATGTTCATTGTACAAGATAAGTCTTGCTTGGGGTCTCACCTTATCTGTCAGCTAATCATTCAATTAAAGCTTTCAGCTAATCCATGAATTCATGACATATACCTAATTAATTCTTCATTCTAGCAAGACTCGGTTGTTATTGCCAACGCTTCACTTCTTCATCTCTTTGCGTGATAAACGTCAAGTTTGCTCGCTTCTGCAATTATTTCACAAGCTCTTCCACCTGGCTCCCGAATTCACTAGTTTGAGATAAGCCGTCTTGAAATCGTTGAAGAACATATTCTGGTCCGCGGCATACTTTGTGATCCAGCTGTGCAGGAAACAAGCTTCTCTTCAGTTGGATATGAATAAGGAACAAATACTACACGTACATAAAAATGGAACATTAGATGCTGTCATTTTTCTAAATTCTGATCGCTAGCGCATGACATATCAGGCATTTATGAGAAATGTGTAAGATCAAAGTAATTAAAGAAGGAGGCCATCGTTCTAAAATGTTCATAACTGTAGCGTCAACTCACCGTGACAAAATCTTTAATTCATTTCCTAACATGAACCCTTGCATAAAAGAAATTGTGAATGATCACAATTATCTCAACCGCTTTGAGGAATTTGTGGATTGATTTTCATCAAATTTAGATTTTTCTAGCATAACTCCTGTTTAAATTGTTGGCTCTTTTTTTTTTTCAAGTCTTCTGACCAGATTATATTCATTTTAATATTCTATGAATAACTGAGTAGAGTAGTCGACTGGCTTAAATGCCCAGCAACACATGACAGAACAGAGAAAAGTACACAGATTAAAGTTTCTACAAGGAAATGGACCTTAAGCATTCATCATCCTTGGCAAGTGCACGGTCTGAGGGAAGGCCAATCATGCTACCTGAATGCAAAGAATAGAATCAGAAATTGCAAAACAAAAAAAATTGATATTTTGACAAGACGAGAAAATAATTTTCTATCAAGTCATTCATTTTAGATGCTACATAGATAAGTCACAATACTTTGTTTCGACTATATCGTGAATATCATGACAGATGCATTCATTGAACAAAAAAAATGTCTATGTTGCCCAAGCAAATTGATCAAAGCATACGTGTACATCAAAATAAAATATATATATGTATACATTCATTGAAGATCAAACAGAAATGTGAAAGTTGACTCACTCTAAAAATAGAGCATCATTACTCCATTGCATTCCTATTTTTCTATTGTTGCTCAGTTATCAAGCTGTAACACAAATTCCCCAATAGCAGGAGCTTGAGGGAGATCCCGAGTTTTTTTTTAAGCCTATTTTATTAAGCACCTTATATCCATGTTGCTGTTATTTACCTGAAGATGGTTTCTCAAGAAGAATTTTGAAGTATGTATTGTCAAAAACCGTTGGGTTCCCGAAACCTTTATTTCCAATAGTATGGGCTCCTGACAGAGCAACAAGTTCCTGAGTTCTGAAAAAAAATATACATGGTTCAAACCCATAGCAAGTCAAGTCACTATAAACATATAACTAGAACAGAAATCAATTAAATGCAGAAACTAAGTAAATCTATCAATAAAATGTCCATTGATATCTCAAGGACTTTAATCTTCATGCATATCCGGTTTATTTTAGATATAAACAACAACCACACCCTCGGCCACCAAATATTGCAAACGTTTAGCATATATGAACTTACGAGAAGCCTTTTGTTTGGAAGCTTTGCTTCAGACCAGAAGCATCCAGAGTTTCTTCAGGAAGTTTTCCTTCGGGATCAGGCTCCCTAATAAATGAAAAAAGAAGAAAAGATGAGAGATAGAGAGATATAGCTATTCACAGCATCATTTCTAAAAATAGGAATTATAGCTTTTGGTAGCACTAGATAGATGCTCCTACAAGAATTGGAAACTATTTTTTCTATTTTTAGGGTTTGCATTAACGCTAGCAATACTTGGCAACTGAATTATTGAAAGGTTCAAGCATGATGTTGGTTTTTTCCACCTTGATGCATCTTACTTTGAATCTAGTCTGCCTAACGGAACTTGGATTGTAGGACCTCCACATATTGAAACTGCTTCTGCTCCAGCCACAGCAATCATGTCTGCCCAGGACACTAGTTTTGGAAACACCCACATGTTAGCACAGCACTCGGCACTACTAAAACCTAGTCAACTGTATCTCACTAGATAGAAAACCTGGGTGTACTGCTTCCACCTCACTCTTTGCTTTCTCTAGAATCTAACCAACAATTCAATCCACCGAAGAGTTAGCTGATAAAAGATCATATGAATAATTTCTTTACTCAATCATTATGCAAAAGATTAAGAATTGGGAACCCGATGGAAACCAAAAGATTGAATCGACACACATCTATATAGAGAGTTAGAAGGGGCATGCCTTGAAAGGAGTTTTAAGACCTTTGTTTTCCGGTCTATCAAGTTCATAAACGATAGAACCATCCATACCACCTGCAATAGTTAACAACAGCAATGAAGATGCATTGTAGTAATAGTAGAGCACTTGTCCCAGTTTGAAAGAAATACAGACAATAGATCCAATTCAACCCGAAACATATCCGTAGAAAATTGACTGTACAATGCAACATACGTCAACCACTCGCACATCCTCGACCCACAATACCCGGTATTACAGGAAGTGTAGGAATATTAACTCCAATTGAAATTACTCCAACTTCAAAAATTCAATGGAGTAGTGGAAATGAGTAAGGAGCATGGTCAATGCATATAGATATCGGTACCTGAATTGTCATCAATTTGATAAGTCCCGGCATCATGAAACACCAAACGAAGCACGCCGGCCGCCTTTCCCTTGGTCACCACCTTCCTAATCTCCTCCTTCATAAGCTCATATTCACTTCCATCCGACCTTCCAAATGCGGTAATTACTATGCACATATTTAAATTTCTTAATAAACGAAAAGATCGGAGATTTTGTTCAACTCACTCAGCCGCCTTCGCCGCCGTGCATTCAGAGAAAGGAAGCAGCCATGGCAGTGTGGCAGTAAGTGTAAGCACCAGTCCTCTTCTGCCCAAGACGTGATCTTTACCTGAGATTTTCAACATTTGGTGCATCAATTTATAGAATTGCGTTTCCTTTTACCTCCAAGCAACCAAACAGAGAATTTAGGGCTTTGTTAGCTTTTACCTGAAGTGGCGGCTTTGACGGCGGGAAGAGGATTGGCGTGAAAATTGACCGTTGAGAGGGATTTGGCCGGAAAGTTGAAGTTGAACGGGAATGTGGTGGAGTAAGAGGGGGTAAAGATGGACGGGGTTGAGGAGCAGAGGAGGGCGACGGTGGAGGTAATTGGCGCCATTTCTAACGGACGGATGAGATAATGAGAAATGAGTTTGTGGGCATTTCAAGATGAGATGTTTGTGCAGGAAAAGGACCGCATCCTATGGGGTCCAAGTCCAGAGGAAATCCTACACGCAATTAAATTAACGAGTGGCGCAAGTCAAACTTAAAAATTTTTTTAACATTAATAAGGGATGTATCATCCAACGAGAAGTAAGGAAATTCAACGCCGGTATCTCCTTTTAACATTAACAAGAAAAGTATCATCAGACGAAGAGTTAGCTAATAGGTCCGTTACTGGCCCGTGCTGGACCGACAAACGTAATGGAGAATCCTTATCTCGCATCGGAGATGGCAACGGGGCGGGAATCAAAGCGGTTCAAATATTGAACCTCATTATTTATTGAACAAGCAATGCCGAGAAAAATAGGAAAATATAAATAACTTGAGCTAAAAGAAAAGTAACGGCTAGGGTTACAAAATTTGCGTAAACGGAGAAAAATATACAGAAATATGGTAGTAAACAATGTGTACATCTCTCTCATCTTCAGCAAATGTTATCTTGGGCCGGAGAGGCGCACTGCAGAAAGGTAGGCATCGCTGTTGTAGTCTGATGGTCCTGAGGAAGTCCCCTCATCGCTGACTGATTTGAAGAAATTCGAATAAAGGCGAGACCCCATTGAGTTGGAGGTTGGAGGCTGGGGAACGGGATACAGGCCTTCAAGCATTTGGACAACCTTCGTCATTGATGGTCTCACAGACATGTCTTCCTGTATGCACCACAGTGCAACCATAATGGCTGTGTGTACCCTCTCGTCGGCTTCATCCTTCCCTAGCATTGTGTCCAGGATGTCCCTCATTTTGCCTTCTTCCAACATCTTGAAGGCATAAGATGGAAGATGGGATTTTTCTGAAGTTTCTGTCGGGTCGTAATTCTTTCTCCCACCAATGATCTCTAGCAAGAGCATTCCATAGCTGTACACATCACTCTTCTCTGATATTGCGTAGTTGGTGATCCACTCCGGTGCAAGGTACCCTCGGGTTCCTCTTAGCGTTGTGAAAACATGGCTCTGTTCCCTGGTCATTAGCTTTGCCAAACCAAAATCTGAGACTTTGGCAAGGTAATTAGTGTCGAGGAGAACATTTTCAGGTTTTATGTCACAGTGAACAATCTTCACATCACAATCTTCATGGAGATATGCTAGCCCTTTAGCCGTACCCAATGCTATATTGAATCTTGTCTCCCAATCCAATAGGAATTTTCCGTTGTTTTTCTTGAAAATCCATTTATCAAGAGACCCATTTGCCATGTAATCGTAAACCAGAAGTCGATGACTTCCTTCTGCACAGAAGCCCCTGAGCCGGACCAAGTGCAGATGATGGATACTGCCAATGATGCTAACTTCAGCTCGAAACTCTTTCTTTCCCTGACCAATGCCTTCCAACTTCTTCACAGCCAGTTGAGTCCCATCTGGGAGACTCCCTTGGTAAACCGAGCCAAAACCTCCTTGCCCTAGCTTCACCGAGTAGTTATTTGTTGCAGTTTGGAGATCTCTGTAACTGAACGAATGGGCATGCCAGTCATATTTTCAAAGAAATTTTCCTCGTCTGAGGTCCCTGTAGGAGATTCTGGTGATCTTGCCTTCCTCCTGTAGTATCGGTATCCCATAAAAAGTAGGCCACAAATAACAAGTACTGTCGAGATGGCTATGATCACAACATAAGGGAAGTGTTTCTTGCTGTTTCCGCTCTTCCCACTGCTTCCATCCCTCAAGACCTTAATGTAAGAAACAAAGCCAGAGCCCTTGTCAGAATTTTGGAAGCTACCTAATCTGTCAAACAGAAAACAATTTCTTGTACTGTTTTGGAAGAACATAGCAACACACGAACAGTTGCCAAGGCAAGACGTTTGGCAACCATTCAAATTAGTTTTCGAAGAAGGTGGAATATATCCCAATGCAAAATAATAGAGCCCATCCCCAGCATTTACAAGCTCTGTAGAACCCTCCGAAGGATTACATGAGGAGACAACCCCCGCCTTGCAATTAGTACGCGAGCTGAGACCTGAAGGGCACTGGCACTTGTTGTTACTATAACATTCGAAGTATGAATCACAAGGTTCTGGTGTGCTGCACGAATCGCTTGGTATTTTTGTTTCTGAAGGACCACTTGACCCTCCATTCTGAAGATTGTCGAAAGAGATAAATCCATCACTTCCTAAAACTGCAATCCATGTGGCATTTGCATCAATATTGCTCCAGAAAATAAATTGCCATAGCAACGCTTTGAATCGATCAAAGAACTTCCATGAATTTTCACTGATAGTTGCTGAAGTGACTACACCACCGTCTATGTTGATTGTTTTACGGCTTTCTTTCGCCATAGACCAATACGGCTGTGGTGTTTGGAAACCTGCGGAAAGAACCAAGTCCCCGGACTTGATTTGAAGAATATAACTCAAGTTGTTAGAGCTAGGATTGCTTACAAGCTTCATTCCTTCCGAAAATTCCTGATTCCATAATAGGGTATCAGTTGGATGGCTAAAACTCTGCCAAACTACTCCTTTGTCATCTCCATTCAAAACTAAATTTCCCGAGTCCTGCAATTCTACTGTAGATACGCTTTTACCACCAGTATCCGCAGACCAAACCACCCTTCCACCTTTTTGCAAAGACACACCACTCTTAGCATCAAACACAATTTTATCAGAATTTGAAACCGGGGAACCCCTATTCGCAGTCCAGACCACCGTAGAACTGTCCTTGTGGACAACAACCAGCAGAAACAATGTGACATCATTGGGAGTAGTCTGGAAGCCAAAACCAAACTCGGACTTGTTAGATAACAGAAACAACCCATTGTTGTCAATCCAGTCCATTTGAGCCCATTGAAACGACGAATTAATCGAACCAAAATTTCGAACACTAGCCAGGCAGGTTTCAGAAGAGATAAGAACAGACAGAAATATGAACCCCATGAAATGAATGAAATTCATATCCCCCATGGCCAAATGAAAACCGGTACTTCACTAAGATTTCAAAAAATGGAAGACTGCAGAAGAACAATAGAACTAACCAGAGAAGACGCAAAACATCTTTTCAATACAAAGGACCCTAGAGGAAAGGAGGATGCCTAGAAAAAAAAAAACACTTTCAACTATGAGGTAACCAATCGCAGAATCTACGGAATTAGCCTTGTAAGCATAATCCCAAAATATGATCAAAAGTCAAGGCAGAACAAAAACTGATTTACAACACCAAAGGAGGCATAGAACTTCACATGTCAAGCTGAATTGAGAGAGAGAGAAGTACCGAGAAGTACCAGGAGAAGTACCAGATAGCTGGCCAGCAGGAGAAACGCAGACAACTTTGACCCAGAAAAGGATCAAGATGAAAGCACTTATGTGAATTGGCGAAAAGCATTCAACCGCTTAACTTTTTCTTACCCACCAACTACCCCCTGAATCCTTAATTTAATGCATTGACTACAGCTAAAAAAACCCAAATAGAGTACCATGGTAAGCTGGGTGGCAGCAATCTCAGACAATTCTAACTTTCAGAGTTCAAAAGCACCAAATTTGACAAAAACCCAGTTCACGTGTGAACTTAAAGATGTGAAATCAAGAGACTTTTTCAATGTCAAATACAGAGAAACTAAGATTTATGTGAAGAGAATCAGATACAGAGCATCAATTAAAAAACTATGGAAGGGAAAAGGATAAATCCAGAAGAGAGAGAGAGAGAGAGAGAGAGAGAGAGAGAGAGAGAGGGAGGGAGGGAGTGAAGGGAATCAGATACAGAGCATCAATTAAAAAACTACAGAAGGGAAAAGGATAAATCCAGAAGAGAGAGAGAGAGAGAGAGAGAGAGAGAGAGAGAGAGAGGAAGGGAGGGAGGGAGCTCTCACCTTCTTCACTTAGTTGGAGAGAAGCATAGGGAGCAGTCAGAAACGAGAAGTGAAATTGCGGCATGGGATGGGGGTGTCACACATTTTCCTAAATCCGTTTGGAACTTTGGGTGCTTCTGTCACGAAGTTTGAGAGATCTGAGGTAAAGGCTTATCATTTCTTTTTTAAATTGTGGTTGAGAAACCGTCAAAAGAAAAGGTCTTTTGTATTGAAACAGATGACAGATCCCAATTTTTTATTACCTTTAATTTATTGATGAGATGACTATTTTATTCATTTTTCTTTTCAAATTTTCAACCGCCGATGCCGACTACTTATGTTCATTTGACAACTACAACTACAGTTCTGCTATTTTCCGAGGTTTTACTGCAGGCATAACATTTGACTCGCAAAAGGTAAACAAATGAAATAAAGGATTTGATTTGTAAATAGTTGCCTGCTAACATGAACATAAATATCTCCCCATGCTGTTCTTTTTTTTTTCTCAAAACCTCACCTGTTGTAAGAGTTTCGAATTCCTTAAGTTCGACTCCCTTCTTCGAATTCATTAAGATGTTTTATTAAGTACTAAATTTAATCTAGGTTAAAGAAAATTGAGTACTATGAGATTTTTTCAATGTGTTAAAAAAACATAAGATCAAGAAAAGACTATTAATTACCATGGGGTAGTTCAGTGGTTTGGACGAATTTTTGCTTATCTTTTTAAAAAAGGAAAAAAAAAATTATTAAGCACTCAATCTCCACATATATTATGTTTACAGCCAATGTTTTCAAGGTTGAAAGCGTAAAATTTAGAGCGATGAAAGTCTCACAAGGCGAAGCATAAGCCTTTCAAGCCTCGCCTCAAGGCGCACAATTGTCACGCCTCTAAAATATTGTTTACAACACTCATCATAAGATACATGATGAGTGTTGTAGATACAATGAGTTATATAATGACGACACAATAGATTATCACTAATTTAATGAAATTAATCTGTCACTCTTCTAAATAGGATATTGTGTTCAAATCTCACAAGCGAGTTAAACAGAGAGTTAATTAAGAGTATAAATAGATGACAAAAAGTGGTTTTAAATTACAAAGAGATAGAGTTGGATTTATTTATTTTTGGTTGAGTGTTGTTCAACTTCTAAGCAAATTATATTTTGCTTAGTCATTGGTGGCAAGAAAACGACATGATCAAAGTGGGAGGTTTTGTGGTTCAACCTTCAAGCATGTCCAATTCTTTCTCTGCTAACCTTTATTTGATTTAATTTGAATTTGTTTTTCCTAGATTGGCATGAAATTATGAAAATAATGGTGGTTGAATCGGAGGGTTGGGATCTTTTTGGTTTTGCATATGTGACGTGGAGGATGGTAGATGGGTCCCCAATGGTTCAACATTTTGAAATTGGATCCACTCTAGACCTTAGTGGTCGAAGCTTAAGAATTAATTCATCTGGATTGCAAATTGATATGTAAAAGAAATCAGGTTCTTTTTTTGTGTGTTGGGCCAGAAAAATAAGTTAATAAGAACCATTAAATTCAATTTGTGCAACCCAAATGAATTGATCATTATGCTCCAGACACTAAGCTCCATAGCGGATCAATTCCCAACATTTCAACTTGAATGCAAAAAATGGGACAGCTCATTGGTTTGGTTGGACTGAGAGGAGATAGAGGGGGCAGGCAGGATGTTCTTGCAATTTCAGGGTGGGTCACAACCAAGCTCTTTTAATAATCCAAGTGGCAGCATTATTTTACTACAAGTGGAACGTCACGACTCAAGGTTCCAGTTTTATTTTCAAAGTTTTGATCATAAACTATACTCTCAAATGACCAACGTGCTATTAGATGCCTAGTGGTAGCTAGTAAGTTGTAACCAATGGAAAATGTATAATTTCCTTTCTAATTTTTCCTTAACTTGAATCGCGATCTGATCTTTACCCAATTTTATAATACATGGTGCAGAGTTTGTGTATATTTTTTTACACGATATGACAATATGATTAAAATTTAACACGAAATTAACAAATTTAAATTGATCGTTACTTCAACATGAGCATTCAGAGAGTTAATAAGAAGTTAGAAGTTTTCTTTTTTTTCAAAAAGAAATAATTGATCAGTTTCTTTCACTCATAGGGGTAAAATTGGGAAAATAGCCAAAACCCTAATATGATTAAGGATAAATGATCTAGACTTGATGGATGGAATGCAATTAGAACTAATCGACAAAGACATGGTGCCTATAATGTTGCTACAGGAAACCTTAATTTCAGCAAAGCTGTACAGGCTGGAGTGGTGATGGTGGGAACAACAAACCATGTGCTGTGAAACCCTAAAACTTATTTTGGACTAAGAAATACCGCCATGCAGAAGCAGCTAGCTAGCTCATATATCGAAAATATAAGACATAGGGAAACAGGTATAAGAATTAAGCAGTTCGACAGCATGACAAGATCCTCAAATTCTGATTCACACACACACACACACATACACACATATATTTGTTCTACAGAAATCAAGAAAATAATTAAAGGGCCTCCAATCCATTAATTCTATCCCTGATTGATTGTTCTCCTCGTTTTATTCGATGGAAACATCAAAATAAACATGAGTATGCAAAAGAAGGAAAGAATGTGCATAAATAGTTTCACTATTGTGAAACCGTTTTATTTGTAAGTTGTGAAGGTTGTTTAAATGATCATGAAACTGCTACCATTTGCTTGTGCATTATATTATTAAGTTTTCTGGGTATATATATCTGGATCTGATGGTCAGTTAATATTCCAAGTTTATTAGGTTAAATCTTGATTTTTATTTTATTTTATGGTTGGCATTGTTCCTCAAATTTCACAGAAAACTTAAGTTCGTCATACAAAAAGTTGGTTATTAAGAAAAGTTAAACAACAGATGTTAGGTAGCATTTGGTACGCAGACGGGACGGGACGAAGGTTCCGTGTATGTTTGGTACGCGCAAGATGGAACATGTTGGTTGTTCCGTTCTGCGTTTGATACGCGTTGGACGGAACGCAAATGATTGCGGAGCCACAACCAGAGGTGTAGAGACTGCGGGAACGAGTCACATGGAACTGATAAATCCACAAACCAAATAATGAAGCATAATAAACTTAATTGCAGAACCCAATTCAGATTGGATCTTCCTGCATCTAATTCAAGAATCTAAAGTGTCTGCATGTAAATTCAAGAACCCAGTTCATAAATCCTCGAACATTTTCATCAAAAACGAAAACCCCCTAAAACCCACGAATCCACATGCCATTTCAACAAAAACCAACAGATCTTATCGCAAATATTGATCAATAAACAAAACCCAGATTGTCGACTTTGACTTCTCATCCCTCCGATCGCAGCCCTTGATCAGCCAAGTGGGTACCTCTCAATTTCGAAATTTTTTCAGTAAATTGGCGAAGTCGTAGGTGCAGAAGTAGTTGGCGAAGTCGATCGGAGAGAGCTTCTCCTTCTGGTGGTAGAGGAAGGCGTAGGTGCATAAGTAGTTGGCAAAGTCGACGTCTTTGTCCACCGGGGCGCCGCCAGCGTGGCCATTGCTGGTGCCGCTTTGGTCCCCGTCACGGCCGCAATTTCTGTTAGCTCCCCATGCCCTCAGATGGAAGTGAGGAGGAAGAAGGAGACATAAACATTATAATTTTGTGTTCCATGAATGTGAAACGAGTTTGTTCCGGGGGAGGGAGGCGGAATGAAAAAAAATCATCCAAAACTTGTCCCGTGGAACAACGTGTTTCACTCGTTTTAGGCGCATCAAACGTGGGATGGAACGTCTCGTCCCGTTCCGTTCCCGTCCCATCCCATCTCGCATACCAAAACGCACCCTTAAGGAACGAAACCCATTCCAAGACCTTTCTTGGTAATTGATAAAAGTTAAAAACCACAGATACTAAGGAACGAAACCCTATTCCAAGAACTTTCTTGGTAATTAAACTCATGACTATTCATTCCATCGAGGCATTCTTTGAAAAGGTACTCGCATTGGGATTTTATGTTCCTTCTTTTGATATCTCACTATTATACAACTATCACGGTCAAAACAATTTACATAATAAAATTTCGAACAACGATTTCAGCACTTTCAACTCAATATTTTACAATTTTTCTTCTTTCAACACAAAAAGAGTATACAAGGCTAAAAATTGAGCGTTGAGATAGATCGTTAGCCTAATTATTTTATTTACTCCCAAACTGAACACAAAATAATAATAAAAATAATTAAAGATTAACCCACGAGTTTTTTTTTTTTTCTTTTTGTTTCTAAACATTTATCCTCAGGACCAAATATTTGGATAAGATTTTACAACATTTAATGAGAGGGACAACAATCACCATATGATGGAATTATCACATGGACTCATATCACATACAGCTCCGAGTTGTCAGTTGTCACCGATTCCCATTTGCTAAGGTAGTCTCAGGCCATCTCCAGTCATGGAAACGTAATCCTTTAAATATGTTTAAGATTTCTAAAAACTAATATTTTAAGAGCTTTTATATTAACACCTCATAAAATATTGAATACACCTCATATTGAATGACTTATTTACCCTACTATGTAATGACAATTTTGACCTTATTAGGTTAAAAAAAAATAAAAAATTTCTAAATACACCACAAAATCAATTTTAACGTATTATTTATCTTCTTCAACTATCAAAATCCCTCCGACCCTCTATTGTTGAACAAAATCCTAACCAATGAAACTACAATATGTTGATTGAGAAAAAATATTTTTGACGAATGAAACACGAAATCAATGTTTCGGAAGCTTTACATGAGGTAATTAAGACTTCATATTTTTTATTGTTTTAGTGATTTTGACGACATCGATAATTATTTAATCTTGTTTTTGCTGTGTTATTCAAGTTTCTATGTTCGTATTCATCTTTTAGAGATCACAGAGATTACATGAAGAATTAAACACCTAAAATTACCACCAAATATTAAAAACAGACGACATGGGTTTTAATGGTGGAATTGAA